CTGGCTTCATAGGTCATGTTCTCTAGACCTTTAATCATTCTTGTCGCTCTTCTCTGTACCCTTTCCAATTTCTCCACATCTTGCTTGAAATGTGGCGCCCAGAACTGGACACAGTACTCCAGCTGAGGCCTAACTAGTGCAGAGTAGAGCGGCAGAATGACTTCACGAGTTTTGCTTACAACACACCTGTTGATACAAGCTAGAATCATATTTGCTTTTTTGGCAACAGCATCACACTGTTGACTCATATTCAACTTGTGGTCCACTATGACCCCTAGATCCCTTTCTGCCATGCTCCTTCCTAGACAGTCGCTTCCCATCTTGTATGTATGGAACTGATTGTTCCTTCCTAAGTGGAGCACTTTGCATTTCTCTTTATTAAACCTCATCCTGTTTACCTCTGACCATTTCTCTAACTTGCTAAGGTCATTTTGAATTATGTCCCTATCCTCCAAAGAAGTCGCAACCCCACCCAGTTTGGTATCATCCGCAAACTTAATAAGCGTACTCTCTATCCCAATATCTACATCATTGATGAAGATATTGAACAGTACGGGTCCCAAAACAGACCCTTGAGGAACTCCACTTGTTATCCCTTTCCAGCAGGATTTAGAACCGTTAACAACAACTCTCTGACTACGGTTATCCAGCCAATTATGCACCCACCTTATCGTGGCCCTATCTAAGTTATATTTGCCTAGTTTATCAATAAGAATATTATGCGAGACCGTATCAAATGCCTTACTAAAGTCTAGGTATATGACATCCACCGCTTCTCCCTTATCCACAAGGCTCGTTATCTTATCAAAGAAAGCTATCAGATTAGTTTGGCATGACTTGTTCTTCACAAACCCATGCTGGCTATTCCCTATCACTTTATTACCTTCCAAGTGTTTGCATAGGATTTCCTTAATTACCTGCTCCATTATCTTCCCTGGGACAGACGTTAAACTGACCGGTCTATAGTTTCCTGGGTTGTTCTTATTCCCCTTTTTATAGATGGGCACAATATTTGCCCTTTTCCAGTCTTCTGGAATCTCCCCTGTCTGCCATGATTTTTCAAAGATCATAGCTAAAGGCTCAGATACCTCCTCTATCAGCTCCTTGAGTATCCTGGGATGCATTTCATCAGGACCTGGTGACTTGCTGACATCTAACTTTCCTAAGTGACTTTTAACTTGTTCTTTGTGAATCCTATCTTCTAAACCTACCCTCTCTCTGCTTGTATTCACTACGTTAGGCACACCTCCAGACTTCTCGGTGAAGACTGAAACAAAGAAGTCATTGAGCATCTCCGCCATTTCCAAGTTTCCTGTTACTGCTTCTCCCTCCTCACTAAGCAGTGGGCCTACCCTGTCCTTGGTCTTCCTCTTGCTTTTAATGTATTTATAAAAAGTCTTCTTGTTTCCCTTTATGCCTGTAGCTAGTTTGATCTCATTTTGTGCCTTTGCCTTTCTAATCTTGCCCCTGCATTCCCGTGTTGCTTGCCTATATTCATCCTTTGTTAGTTGTCCTAGTTTCCATTTTTTATAGGACTCCTTTTTTATTTTGAGATCGTGCAAGATCTCCTTGTTAAGCCAAGCTGGTCTTTTGCCATATTTTCTATCTTTCCTACACAGCGGAATTGTTTGCTTTTGGGCCCTTAACAACGTCCCTTTGAAATACTTCCAACTCTCCTCAGTTGTTTTTCCCTTCAGTCTTGCTTCCCATGGGACCTTACCTACAAGTTCTCTGAGCTTATCAAAATCTGCCTTCCTGAAATCCATTACCTCAATTGTGCTGGTCTCCCTTCTACCTTTCCTTAAGATCATGAACTCTATTATTTCGTGATCACTGTCCCCTATACTGTCTTCCACTTTCAAGTTCTCAACTAGTTCCTCCCTATTTGTTAAAACCAAATCCAGAACAGCTTCTCCTCTGGTAGCTTTTTCAACCTTCTGAAACAGAAAGTTGTCTCCAATGCAGTCCAGAAACTTATTGGATAGCCTGTGCCTCGCTGTGTTAGTTTCCCAACAAATGTCTGGATAGTTGAAGTCCCCCATCACCACCAAATCTTGGGCTTTGGATAGTTTTGTTAATTGTTTAAAAAAGGCCTCATCCACCTCTTCCACCTGGCTAGGTGGCCTGTAGTAGACTCCTAGCATGATATCACCCTCGTTTTTTACCCCTTTTAGCTTAACCCAGAGACTCTCTACACAGCTATCTCCTACATTCATCTCCACTTCAGTCCAAGTGTGTACATTTTTAATATACAAGGCAACCCCTCCTCCCTTTTTTCCCTGTCTGTCCTTCCTGAGCAAGCCGTACCCTTCCATACCAACATTCCAATCATGCGTCCCATCCCACCAGGTTTCTGTAATACCAATGATATCATAGTTGTATTTATTGGTTAGCAATTCCAGTTCTTCCTGCTTATTACCCATACTTCTCGCATTTGTATATAGGCATCTAAGATATTGATTTGATCTTGCCTCCCTGTTGTGCCCTGACCCTCCTTTCTCCTTGCCATTATAGGCCGTAGTCCCCCCCATTTCCAACCCATCTCCCAGTCCCGCACATGCAGCACTTACCTGTGGGCTTTGCTCCCCTGCCCCCAACAAACCTAGTTTAAAGCCCTCCTCACAAGGTTAGCCAGTCTGTGTCCAAACAAGGCCTTCCCGCTCCTAGAAAGGTGAACTCCATCTCCGCCAAGCAGTCCTTCCTGGAAGAGCACCCCTGGAATCATGGGGGTGATCCTCCAGCCACTTTGTGGTGACTCTCATGACAAAATGTAGCAGTGCCACAGACAAGGCCACACATGTTAAATTGGGGGAGAATCTGCAAATGAATTGTATCTTCTTAAAGAGACTTGCCTGCGCATTTATATTATGGGTAGTTCTACAAAAGACTGGATTGTCTGCTCTCCATAGAAACAGAGGGTCATATGCTGTCCTTTATTCACAGGTGAAACCCCCGTTGATATCAGTGTACATGAATAGATTGCAGCAAGACTATCTTAATGTCAGAATAAATCATCACTCTCATTTGTTTATGCAGTCTCATTTTATCAGTTGAACATCTGATAATATGAAAAAGATGAAATTGCTTTTATCTGTGAGAGGTGGTGGTTTGGCCCGTTGATACATAGACAAAAAAATTAGTAATATGTCATCTTGTATTAGAATTAAGCGGAGCACTTAAGAGGAGTGAACAAACTGTACTGTACTCTGGTTCCTCTACAGCATAAATAGAAAAGTGGCAGCCTTTGGCACAATGGCACCTGCAAATTACAGAGCTGGTCTTAAGCAATGGGAAATAGAAGAGATAATCAGTGTCATTTTGATGTAGTTTATGTGGGAGCGCACAGGAGGTTATCTCAAAAGAAAGTGTAGTAATTTATCTCCAGATTCTTTTCATTATTTAAAAAGAGATGAAAGAAAAGACAGGAATATGGAGCAGAGGAGGCTTAAATGTAGTACTACGGAGATCTGGAGGATCTGATCTTTTTTTTTTTCTACTCACCTGTAATATTTGAATATCAGATAGCAACATATGTATGCATGTTTTTTTACAGCAAATGAAGATCAACTACTAAAAGAAAATAGGTGCATGCACACTCACTGTTGGTATTTAAATTAGAATTGACATAATTTATACTTCTTTATTTGGGATTTTTCTAAACTAAATACCCTTAATCTTACATTGAGAAAACAAATTCATTTTTAAAGTGAGTCTAGTAGAACCCTCTTCTCCAGTTTGCCCTGATCTTTGGGCCTGATCTTACAAACACTGCTAAGCAGAGGGCTTTTTATACTCAATCACATTGACTCTCTTGGAAGTAAGCCCTACACACACCATAAAATCAGCAGGATTGGGAATTTAGTTGCTAATCAAATCATGTTAGGGATATGCAAACCTGCTATCATTTGGGGAAGAAAAAAAATATGCATTGTGTACAAATATCAGTTTATGATGTTCTGCTGCTTAAAGGATGAAAAGAGTAGGCCGGCTGAAAAACATTTATGTGTTGTGAACAACTTTAGTTTTCAAAATTTGTTTTTGTTCCAGTGCTGGATGTTGGCACTGTTCTGTGAAAAGAATTAAATATTCATTGGGCCAGACGGTGGGAGTAGGATTGGGAAGCTAACTCTAAAGCTTTGTGCATTGGTTATCTGTCTGGGATTGGAGAGAATTCAGGTTGAAATCCCTGCTCTGAATCGGAAATACAGCTTCAATCTGGGATTCCTATATTCTGTTTCTAACTAGACATTCAACCCTGACCTGAGAAACCTTCCCACTAAGTATTGTGTCAGAACCAAGATGTTTCTGGGAAATACTTTGGGTTCTGACAAAACAGTATCTTTCAGTGGCAAAAGATTTTATCAAAACTGTTTTGACCAACTCTGGTTAATGGGGTGATGCTGCCTTTCATTCGGGGCATACTTTCTCCTTATAAAGAGAGTAACAAAGATCATCCGTACTGTGGCCTTGGTTGAACTGTGATCCTGCTGGTTGGAACCCCATGTTCCTTGTCTCAAGTGGCAAGTTTCTGACAGTTGACTGAATTTCATTGACTAGCCACAGCAGGAAGGCAGCGCATTCTGTAATTTCCCTCTCAGCATAAACAAAGAAGAAACAGCTGCAATTTGGAGTCACTTGTTGACAAAATTCAGTGCTGTGGCAGGGGAAATTGCAGGTTGATCAACTAATATGTCAAAAGTAAACACAATGGGAGTCATAACAACTCACTGTGCTACCTTGGTAGTGGAACTGTGTGGGGTGAATGAGTCAAACTACAAATGCATTAGGAGTAGGATAGTAATGGTTGTTTTGCTCCCACTGAAGGTAATCGTTAGCTGAGCAGGTGGTAGCATTGGACCAGTAGTTGCCACCCTCAATGAGCATAAGACGCCAATAACTCCTCTGCTGTTCTGTAAATGAATGGAACGTGGTTAGAGATCTTGCTCTGATTGCAGACAAGATTAGTCTCCTGAATTGTATTTTTTTTATTCTGTCTTCAGGTAATTATGCTCTCCTCAACACTCCTGACACCACTTAACATTCCTGAGTTGTTGTTTGCAACAGACCATCTACAACCAGACATAGGCATCTGAAGAGTGCAGATCTGCAGAGAAGATAAGTGGTTTGCCTTCCCTGGAAATACCACCCTCTGGCCTGTCATGCTTTCCAATAGTCTTCCAAAAATGAATTCATCTAAAACTAATTGTGGCTGTAATTGCAAACTGAGTTGAGCAATTTGATAGCTGCCTGCAAGAGGGTGGATTGAATAGGTTCTTAGAGCACTTAAAAAAGCATTCATTTTTTCCATGATGTCAAGCTGGCACTCAGCTCCTCCCTGTTGAATGATATCGCTAAGGAGTGCTAGCATGGGCCCTCCCCACTGCATTGCCCAGAAAACAATGGCTGCCTGTAGTAATTCCCCAGATAAGGGGGTAATTCTGGAACAACTGCCAAGGGCCAGATTCAGTCATTTACCTTCACTGAATGGGACTTTCCACATAGTAGTCCCATTGATTTCAGTGGGGTTCCTTGTAATGTAAAATAGAAGTAAAGGTAGCAGAACCTAGGCCTGACCTGTTTTGTTCCTTGCAAAACATATGTGCCTTAGTGTTTAACTCCTGTGCAGTCTGTGACCCTATCTCCAGAGAGAAGCCAGGAAGCACAGCAGTGAAACTGCGTTGTCCCGTCAGTAGTAAAATAGCTACCAGCCTGCTGATGGCTTTAGTGCTGACTGGGGAGAGGCAGAGAGAAGCCCACCATAATAAAGCTGGTGAGTCATGTACTGACTCTCTCACAGGTCCTTGGTTTCCTCTCCTGTTTGCCCCAGTCATTGTCCCATGAGAAGAGTCACTATGATGACATTCCCCTGTGCATCAATATTCACAGGAGAACATGTGGTCTGTGATGATTAGATGTTTCACTTTATTAATCCTAGAGGAATGCGTCTCTGAGGCACAGCAAATAAATAACATATTCCCATTTGCAAATACATTGTGGAGTCCAAAAACAGAATAGTCTTTTAAATGGTACTTTGAATCACAACGGTAGGAAAAGCTTTTGATTTTAATTTATAATTAGGCAACAGCCTTTACCAAGGCAAGCTGTCTGAGTTATGTAACTTTGCTTTTTTAAATTTTGCTTTAATCTTCAGAGGAGAAAAACACAAGTGGCTGAGGATTCCAACTGTATTCAGCATTGAGATTCATAAAAATGCAGCAGAATACACTGGTGCCACAAAGATGCAGTGTATTGTCTCACTTTATTCAACCCAGGGATGTTAAGACTACATTCTACCCTAAGGTTATGTCTATACTCGCAGCTTCTTGTGCAAGAAATATGCAAATGAGGCTGTGTGGAATATCACTGAGCCTCATTTGAATGCCTAATGAGCTGCCATTTTTGCAGGAGAGGCTCTTGCGCCAGAAGGAGCTGTCTACACTGCCCCTTCTTGCGCACTCCTGCTACGCCAATTATTTTCAGGAATAATGGCATTGTGCAAGAGGGGTTTTCTTGCGCAAGAAGGGGCAGTGTAGACAGCTCCTTCTGGCGCAAGAGCCTCTCCTGCAAAAATGGCAGCTCATTAGGCATTCAAATGAGGCTCAGTGATATTCCACACAGCCTCATTTGCATATTTCTCACGCAAGAAGCCGCGAGTGTAGACATAGCCTAAGAGATTATTTGAAGTTACATTTTAGGGGCACATTTTTAAGCCCTCTATCTACAGCAAAGCTCCCCTACTTTAGCATTCTTTTTATGCCCAGAGGAGACTAGATTAAATAGAAACTAGTTATTTAACCTTTGCTCACTAGCTGATGTAAGTTCTGTTAAATCAGTGGTCCCCAACACGGTGCCCACTGGCGCCATGGCGCCCGCGGGGCCATTTGTGTGTGCCCGCCAAATGCTCTCAAACACCTAACCCGACCAGCAGATAGATGGTAGATTGACACTCAGAGTAAATGTGCTGCTGGACCCATCCTTATACCCTTAGGGGCCTGTATCCTCTTTCTTATCTTAAGATGCCAAATTGTACTGGTCCGTTTTGTGGTGCCAGTTCTTACAAGCAAGTTTCAAATAATTTACACTTGTAAGAGAGGAAGATAGCTAAATTAGGAGTGTCGGATATTCTTTACTGCGGACGGCTGTGTGTTCGTATCAATATGGGTTTCACTCAAGGGCACTCCTCAGCAGCCTCTTGGTCAGCAATTGGCATATCTCTGTTTACAGCCATTCACGGTCACAGCAGCTTCGGCCTTCTGTTCAAGGCTTTTACTGTTCTGTGTGCCCTGCATGCTCCAGGCAAGCAAAAATGAATGTTACAAAGGGCATCCCAGTCCTCTGGCGTGCCCCCGGACGAGCGGCCCTGCTCCCGGGTGCCCGGCACGTGAGTGGCCCCCACCTCCCAGGCGCCCGGCGCATGAGTGGCCCCACCTCCCGGGCGCCCGGGCGCCTCTAAAGGTTGGGGACCACTGTGTTAAATGTAACCTTTTCCTGAAAAGCCTTAATTGTGTTTTAAGAGTGCACGGCCATGGCCAGAAGGGAACAAAAGATTACACTGAACCATGAACAAAGTGGCCTTTATGGAAACAGATTTAAATGATGAATATAGAAACATTAGATTACACTGTATTTGATGGGCAAGTAACATATCAAACAAAACACATATGTTTTGCTAAAAGCTTACTGTCTTGTTGATTGAGTTAGAGAAATAACAGCAAACAGCCTGTCTCTGTGGTGACATTTCTTCTTTTTCTGTTCACCTTATCCAAATATCGATGTTTTTGAAATTACATAACAATAAAGCAAAGAATGCAAACCTACTCATCATCTTGGCTTTTTCATGCACACCAACCCCTCATCTTTGTTGTATACATTCTATTGCAGTCAAGCAGCCAGGGCTGAAAGGAGAGAGATGATTGGCTACTGTTCAAGGACAAGAAGGCAGACCTTGAGCCTTTGGGGATGAAAGGAGACTGGTGGTTGTGTCCCCTAGTTTGAGAGAAGGCAGGGCAGGGTAAATGTGATTTTGGTGGTTGTTAGCAACAGAGGTTTTGAGGGAGGATGAGGTAGAGCACAAGTTAAGGCCAGGAACCAGATCTTATGGGGGAGGAGGGGATTCAGCCTGGGTACTGCATGCTGTTCCAAAGGAGGTCAGGGGTAGCACCCCAAAGTGCTTTAGAGGTCAAGTGGATAGCAAGGTGTCTGTTGCTCATCCCGTGGTGGGCACCTTCTCTTCTGCCAGCCACATAGACACAACCGAATTCGAGAGCCTTTGCGTTCCCTCCCGTTTTTTACAAGCAGGAACAGCTCAGAAGATGCCTCTGCTTCATCAGGCAAACTTCATCTCCGAGATACAGGATGTAGCAGTTCACCACTGCAGTAGAAGTTTGAATTTTGCATGTGGCGAGGTGTAGGATGCTGCCAAGGAAGCAGGGAGGTCAAAGGCTACTATGAGAGACCTGCTGCTTTTGGAAGGCTTCCCCTATCTTAGTTGTAGCAAAATAGGTGGTGGGGAGAGGGTCTTTGAGAATAAGAAAGAGGGGGTCTAGTTGGTCATGCATATTGACCAGCAGCTCTCAAATATTTTCCATCCCCCCCCGGAATTCCTCCCCCCTCCCCCACTTTTGGCATGCCCGCACCAGAACAGGAACCTGCTCTCATTTAGCATCAGGAGAAAGGTGAAATGTTTGCAACCCTGACACCTGCCCTGGTTTTGGCTTGTACACGGCACTTTGGCCAGTCTGCCTGGGTCCTTAGTCACTTAGGGTATGTCTACACTACCCCACTAGTTCGAACTAGCGGGGTAATGTATGCATACCGCACTTGCTAATGAAGCCCGGGATTTGAATTTCCCGGGCTTCATTAGCATAAGCGGGGAGCCGCCTTTTTTAAATCCCCTCTGCTTCGAACCCCGTGCAGCGCGGCTACACGGGGCTCGAACTAGGTAGTTCGGACTAGGTTCCTATTCCGAACTACCGTTACTCCTCGTGAAACGAGGTGTACCGGTAGTTCGGAATAGGCACCCTAGTCCGAAC